CTGTAACTTCAAACACTTGAAGCGGTCATATGCAAACTGTCTGTAAACTCTTCCAAGGTGATTGCAGATCTGTCAGTAACTTGCACGTTGTCTGCCCATCAGTGATCCTTTTCACATGGGCAGCACCTGCAATATTGCATCAATGTCCAGTTAATCAGGAACAAAAACAAAGTTGCTGGAAAAGCTCAGCAGGTCTGGCAGCATCTGTGAAGGAGAAAGCAGAGTTAACATTTCGGGTCCGGTGACCCTTCCTCAGAACTGATGGTGGCTGGGAAAACGTCAGTTTATACGCAAAAAATAGGGAGGTGGGTGGGGTACGGAGTAAATGATAGGATAGAGCCCAAAGAGAGAGAAAGACAGTTGGACAGACAAAGGAGTTGCTAACGATCAGGCTGGGAGGGTGAATAGTTGTTAATGGGGACTGTTAGTGACTAACAACAGAGGGTATGTAATGGCAGGCTATGTGGTAACAAGGCCTGATGTGTGGGGTACGGGGCTGGGACATGGGAGGGTTTAGGCCCTAAAATTATTGAACTCAATATGGAGTCAGGAGGGCTGTAGGGTCCCCAAGCGAAAAATGAGATGGTGTTCCTCCAGCTTGCGTTGGGCTTCACTGGAACACTGCAGCAAGCCGGAGACAGGGATGTTGGCCAGGGAGCACGGTGGTGTGTTGAAGTGGCAGGCAACAGGTAGTTCAGGGTCTTTTTTGCGAGCAGAACGTAGACGTTCTGCAAAGTGGTTGCCAAGTCTATGCTTTGTTTCCCCAATGTAGAGGAGACCACATTGTGAACAGCAAATGCAGTAGACTAGATTCTGGGAAGTGCAGGTGAAGTGTTGCTTCACCTGGAAGGTATGTTTGGGCCCTTGGATACTGGGGAGGGAGGAGGTAAATGGGCAGGTGTTGCACTTTCGCCGGTTACAGGGAAAGGTGCCATAGGGCTGTGGGGAGGTGTTGTGGGTGAAGGAAGTGTGGACCAGGGTGTCCCAGAGAGAATGAGAGAAGGCGGACAAGGGAGGGGAGGGGAATATGTGTCTGGTGGTGGCATCTTGCTGGAGGTGGCGGAAATGGCGTCTGATGATCTTCTGGATGTGGATGCTGGTGGGATGGTAGGTGAGGATAGGGGGAACCCTATCGCTGTTGTGGGAGGGAAGAGAATGGGTGAGGGGGGGGGG